ACCAAGCACTGTTTTTCATGTGCCTTAGCATGCCTTCCAGGAGAATCTGCTCCAAGATTTTGCCAGGCACAGAGGTGAGACTGACTGGTCTGTAATTCCCTGGGTCATCCATTTTCTCCTCCTTGAAAATGGGGGTTATATTCCCCTTTTTCCAGTCGTTGGGAACTTCACCTGACTGCCATGATTTCTCAAATATGATGGACAGTGGCTTAGTAACTTCATTTGCCAGCTCCTTCAGGACCCGCGGATGGATTTCATCAGGTCCCATGGACTTGTGTACATTCAGGTTTTTAAGATGGTCTCGAACCAGATCCTCTCGTACAGTGGGCCTAGGGTCTTCATTCTCACAGTCCCTCCGTCTGCCTTCCAAGAACCTAAGTTGACTTATCCTAAGGTGAGTTGATAATTTTAGAAAATTACAGTTCTGAAAGTTTTAGACCCCTTTCATTACTACGGCTTTGATATTTGTCTGTGAGTAGAGTGCTGATAGCGAATACAGAGAAAAGCAGCAGATTACTATTATTGTGTTAATAGCAATCCTGAGAAACTTCCCAGAAATTTTACCAGCTCTTTATCATTTGTGAATATTTTTTCTGGTAACTATGAGGTTCCCCCATATGCCTTCTCTCTTCTATTTTCTCCTAATTAATTTCCATGCTTTTCTATTCTGCTCCATGAGGAGACACTGTTCAGCAAGAAGCTGTGGTTAGTAAGGAAGTGGTGCATGTCTCATGAGGCATGTGTTTTCAGCAGCCTTCTCCCTAGACTTAGCAGCTGTCAATGATATAGAGATTTGAAAGTTGCCTGCACATATGGGTATGATATAAAAGATTTCCTTTAAAGGAAACAAAATAAGGAAGAAAGCTGAATTCCCAGATGCTACTTTTAGATGAGATTCTGGTTGCAAGCACATATGCAGTCTGTATAGCAATTAACTGTTCCAACACAGGAACCAAAACAACAGTGCAAAGGATGCTTGTGTTGAAATCAGCTAAAGGTTAAGAAGGCAATGATTAAGCATTGAAAATCAGGAACACTCTGAAGATAGGCTATATTCAAGATAGAACCATTTTTATTATCTTTCTTGGAAAAAAAGCAGAGAGAAGCAAGTCAGAAATGCTGAGAATTGCTTTGGTTTTGTTTTTAGAAAAGTAAAAAGTAAATGAATGAAATTATCATAGCACACTATACCATTTAAAATAAATAAACTGATTTCTGACCATCATTTGCTGAAGAATGCGCAAAAACATCTGCAGAGAAGTCTCAGTCTGGAAGATGAAACTGAAAATGTGTGCATCAGTGATCTTCATGTGTGAGAGACACCAGTAACACTGGACACAGAGAAAGAAATTATAGTGTTCTTTTCTGGAAATGTTTCTCCTATGGTGACAGCTGGCATTTTACAAAGAATAACTAAAAATGCCACTTATGCAGTAGAAAGAATGGGACCCATATTGCAAATTTCTTTTTCTTTTTTCTTTTTTTTTTTTCTTAAGTATCATTTGTGGAAGTACTGACATTTATGAATGATATTTTTATTTCCTGGCTGGTTTTGTTACCTTTGACTAAATGTCTCAATTCCCTACAGCATAGGAAGGAAACCATTGATGGTCAATTTCTGTAATTCTACTGGCTTCAGCAGCAACATTTGTGTGAATAAGAACAGGATGAACAGGAACAGAATTCCATCCTGGGGATATTTTTACATAGGGAAATTAGAATACATATAAATTAAGATTTTGCTTAAAATTAAATGTATTTTATCTTTCCCATCCTACAGTGGTACAAGGGAGAGCTCTGTGTCACTGCCTGTGTGTCATGATTTACACCAGCCGGCAACTAAACACCCCTCATCTGCTAGCTTACTCCCCATGATGTAATGGGGAGGAGAATTGGAAAGAAAAAGGTAAAAAAATGTGGGTTGAGGTAGGAACAGCTTAATAATTTAAATACATTAAAATATAGTAATAACAACAGCAATAATAATAATAATATTAATGAAAAGAATTTTTTTTCTCTCTTCTCGAGAGGGAAATAAAACCCAAGAAATGACAAATGATGCACAATACACCATCCAGTATAATTCCTGACTAAGGCCCAGCCTGTCCCTGAGCAGCAATCAATTCCATCTGGGTACCTCCTCCCAGTTTATATATTGGGTGTGAGTTGCTGTGGTACGGAATATCTCTTTAGCAGTTCGGTCAGGTGTCCTGGCTGTGCTCCTTCCTGGGTTCTTGTGTCCCTCCTCACTGATAGAACATGGGAAATGGAAAAGTCCTTGGTTTAGGGTAAGCACTGCTCAGCATCAACTTGTATTATCAACATTATTCTCAGACTAAATCCAAACCACAGCACTGCACCAGCTACTAGGAAGAAAATAAACTGTATCCCAGTGGAAACTAGGACACTGTGACAGTCCCTCCACTGCTGGAAGCTGTCAGAGGCATTCTGAATAGACATTACTTGGGTAGTGTACACAAACCTGATTTTGGACTTTTACAGAAGTAAGCATTCAGAGCTTGAGGAAGAGAGTGTTTCATGAAGTTTTGACATTTGAATTTCTCCTGGTAATTATGTATTGTCATTCTTGTTTGCTTATTGTTTTCACACTCCAAAATAATGGAAAGAGATGTCATAGAACTGTAGGAAACTAATTGGGAATCACTCAGAGTTTGATTAATTAAGTGTAATTTACTTTTTGACATTTCTGAAAGAAAAAAATGCTTTCCTACAAAAGTAAAGTTGCTGAGTTTCATTTTATCAAAGTTGAGTTGTTTTCTTCTAAGCATAAATGTTTCAACTGCCTTATTTTTATCCAGCATAAAGTCACAATAAACTGTATATAATCTCTGAGCCCCATCCACTGCTACATTTTGTCAATTTAATGCTGGTATAACTCAGTAATAAAGAGAAAAAAATCTACTGACTTAAATATACAAAACTGGTTATACACTGGTAAATTTATCCTATAGTATAATCCTCATATATTTTGATTCCAATGCTTAAAACAGATGTTGTGAAACTGAATAAACAAGTTTGTGTTTTTTTTTTTTCTTGAGAACAAAGCAGTTAAGCTACTGGAGTTAAAGAAAAGATAGATATCTTTGTTATTGAAAAATTCTGTTTCAGTGTCAGAAGTGAATTTTTCCTGTGATTCTATGTTATGGCCACTTAACGACTACGGTAACCATAATAAATGCTTTTTTTTTATCTCCAGCTATCTTAGTAGTGTTTACTTTATGGTTGATCTATTTTTATTGAAGTCATGACTCAATTATCTGTGAATTGTGTGGTTTTGTATGTTCAACATTTCTTGCTTTACCAATCAACCACACATTTGTTTTCTTGGGTGTCCAAGGATGTCAAGCTTGTAATTAACACTAGACTTATCAAGTTCTCAGACAGAATAAAACACTGGCCTTTAAGCAGTTCTTGATGTATACACATGTGCACTGGCAGTGAATGTTCAAAATGTGTATGAGGAAATGTTTGTGAACTGAGATGTTTCAATTTTCTAAGAGAAGTGGAAATTGATATTACTGGGATTTTTTAAACTTGTTCAGCACAGGCCATGTCACCTTATATTAAAGTTAATGCACTTATAAGAAATGAATGTGTCAGACATCTACAAATGTGATCAATAGTGCTGGTTTTGGCTGGGGTAGAGTTAATTTTCTTCGTAGTAGCTAGTACAGGTCTGTGTTTTGGACTTTTGCTGGAAACTGTGTTGGTAGCAGGGGTATTCTAGTTACTGCTGAGCAGTGCTTACACAGAGCCAAGACATTTTCTGCTCCTCATACCACCCCACCAAGTAGACTGGGGATGCACAAAGAGCTGGGAGCTGTTGTCAGCTGAGCAAAGGGATATTCCATTGCATATGGCATCGTGATCAGAACATAAAGCTGGGGGAAAAAGAAGGGAGATGGGGAGGGGGAAACATTCAGAATGATGGTGTTTGTCTTCCCAAGTAACCATTATGTGTGACAGAGCCCTGCTTTCTTGAGGATGGCTGAATGCCTGCCTGCCCGTGGGAAGTGGTGCATGAATCCCATTTTGTTTTGCTTGCATGTACAACTTTTTCTTTCCCTATTAAACTGTCTTTATCTCAACCCATGAGTTTTCTCACTTTTACCCTTCCAATTCTCTCCCCCATCCCACTGGTGGGGAGTAAGCAAGTGGCTGTGTGGTACTTAGCTGCTGGCAGGGATAAAGCCACAACACTGTTACTTTAAGAATGGATTTCTTTGTTTTGTAATGTTAATTTGTCCCTGGTTCAGCAGTAGCAGTCATTTTTCTTCTTCTTAGTAGCTGGTGTAATGCTGTGGTTTTGACTTTCCGCCTGGGAACAGCACTGATAACACCGATGTTTTAGTTGCTGGTCAGAATGTTTAGTCTGACCAAGGACTCTCTGAGTCTCATGCTCTGCCAGGGAGGAGGGGAAGCCGGGAGGAAGCAGAGACAGGACACCTGACCCAAACTAGCCAAAGAAGTATTCCATACCACAGCACGTCATGCCCAGTATGTAAACTGGGCGCAGTTACCTGGAAGGGCTAGATCACTGCTCGGGTTGGGCTGGGTGGTGAGCAGTTGTATCTCTTCCCTTGTTATTTCCCTTATCATTGTTATTATTGGTGGTAGCAGCAGTGGTTTTTTGTTATACCTTAGTTACTGGACTGTTCTTGTCTCAACCCATGGGAGTTACATTCTTTTGATTCTCCTCCCCATCCCACCAGGAGCAGGGAGAAAAGTGGAGGGAGTGAGAGAGAGAGTGTGTGGTCTAATTTACAGCTGGGCTTAAACCATAACAATGTATAGAGAGAAAATCCGTATGAACAAATTTGGAGCTGGCTTAAGAAAAGAGACTTTCATTAAAGTTAGCATTTTAATTGTTAAAAACTGCAAATTTGGAAGATAAAGATCAAGGAATAGCAAATACAGTAAATATATAAAATCAGGCAGAAGACAGATGAAACAGCAGACTAAGAAAGTGTCTAGCCCACCTGGTATTTCATATGCTTTACTTTTCAGAAGCTGCAATTAAAATGTTCACAGAAGTCTGCTTCTCAGATGGCAAACTGCTCCAAAGAAAGGAAAAAAAAATAAACAGATAAATATTTTAAATCACTTTTTTTTTTTTTCCTGGTTACAAAAACATCTGTGCCTGTGTCATCAATTTACCACCACAAGGCAGGCATTCAAAATTTGAGACCTTGAGAAACAGCAGCCCTTGCTGCTAGAAGTTACTGGGGAAACAACCAGGGGTGAAAGCCTATATTGTATCAACTGCTCTACAGTACCTGCCTGTATGCATGCTCTTGTAGCACACAAGCACAGTGACACTCAAGGAGAAACAACAGATGAGTAAATGAGAGATCAATGGATTTACTCACAGTCCTTGGTGCTATCCAATATCAATAACGGCAGGAAAATCTATTTCTACCTTGAAAATAAAAAAGAAAAACTACAACTTAAACATCATGAGTTGCTTGCTTTGAAGCAGTTTGAGACTTGACATACCAGTACAATGAATAGCAGATTTTATTTTTTTATTTCTTATTTTTGCATTGAAATACAGTGGCACAGTCTTGGTTTAGGCTTCATTATGTCAATATTTGATGCATATCATGAGGAAGCGTCTCTCCCACATAACACATTTTTCAGAATAATACTGCATTCAGTCAACTTTCCTATGGGTAAACCTCAGGAAGATGGTAGTTCTGAGAGAAAACAAACATGAGAGCATCAGAAAGCAAAAGCTCTGATGTTTACAGTTGTCTTTCGTAAACTAAACCATGAACCCAAATATGGGTACCTCATACTTATGACAGAATCTGTAATCTGAAAATGAAATTATACAAGAACAACTCATCCTTGTTATAATCACAGAAAACCATACATCAGAGACATTTAATTTATATTGCTATAGCTTGTCAGGGATAAAAATGCTTCTGAGGACTCTCTTAAGAACTTATGGTAAAAAAATAAACAAATGTCATGATCACTGAGTTATAAGAAAGCCCATTTCTTCAGAGTTATACAACAAATGCCACAAAGATTATTACTTAAAAAAAAAAAAAAATAGAGATGCAGAATATAATATATAACCCTTCATCCTTGTTAAGCCTGACAATTACTGTCACTGGCTCATCTATAGATCTTCTCGTTTTGTCAGCCTTACATTTTGAAGCTTTTTGATACACTACTCAGACAGAAACTTTTTAATAAAGCTTTGGTATGTGTGTTTAATTTTAAGCAAAATTACTGGTCATGAGATATAGATAGGGAGGACAATCCTCACTGACAGAGCATTGCCAGAGAAGATCAAATTTCCAATATTTTATTTTCATGGGTGGTCTGTTCTCAAGGTTCTGATGATAATGAAGATGCTTTAAAAAAACATGAAGTTGCTCTGTCAGAAGGGCAGGAAAATAGGAGTAGGGCCCTCTCTCAGTCAGTACCTCTTGGTATTGTAACTTTGTTACTTAAATTGTTCTCAGTCTGAAGCAATCATTTTCTGGATGGCTTCTGCCTGACATTATGTTATCCCAGCTGTTACTAGTCAGCCAACTGGCTACGCTGGGTGGGTAGTGATTTTGTCATTTAGAGCTTTCATGGCCCTCCTTGAACATTTCTTACTCCCCCCCCCAAAATAAAAAACAACAAACCCTCCCTCCCTCAACAGGCATGAAGAGCATGCACACTAAAAAGTCTCGTGTGCAAGAATAAAGTCAGGGTTCCCTCAATAACACCAGCTCAGTGCTCTGCAAGGATGTGGTGGTTAGCCAAAATGCCATCATATCTTCTGTAAGGCCCATCAGGGATCCTGCTCTTAATGCTGATGTTGCATTACCTTGTACTAATGCTGTCATGCCACAGAACGTGTCTTGTTCTGCAAACACTGCAAATGCAGCACAGTGTTCAGCAACTGCCATTACTTCTGCTCTTCAGCTGTTGTTTCTCCGAGGCAATATGCCTAATGGCTAGAATATCTCCTGAATACCGAGCTACCAGCCAAGTTTCATGGCAAAAAGGAAAACTCTCCCATTTTTTGTGATGGGCAGAAAATGGGATATTCTCACCCTGTTCTTGCAACCCTCCTTTTCACTCCTTCTTAGAGTCATGATCTGGCAGTACCCTACCAGTTCATTACTGATGATAAATCCCACCACGGCACTTCTCAGTCCTGCAGCTACCATACCTTTTCCAAGAGATATCCTCTCCTCTCAGCTGTTGCCCACTTATTAGCTAGCTGCAAGTAATAACATTGCTGCTCAAAACTTAATGTCTGTTGTGAGGTAAAACATGTAATGTTTCAACAATATAACAGCTCACAGTATTGTCCAAAAATATTTTTTCTATTTAAGAATGGGAGATGTGCCCTTTCAGAAAAGTGCAAGCAGTGCTTGCTTCTGTGGGTAGAGATTTTGCATGTACCAGTGGCCACTCAGAGCTACAGACCACAAAATAATAATGCTACTGGGTGCTAAAGGCACCATATAGGGTGACTTTAAAACAGTTCAGTGTAGTATTTTACTGCAAATGCTACCTACCTTGTAATATAATTTTTCCTTAAAGACAAAATGAATACTTCAAGGACTCCATTATCTTTGCTTTAGTTTCCTGAATTGGATGCTTTTCTCTGTGCTTTGTAAGGTTAATTTAAAATAGTCGTGAGGGGCTACTTACTTTAGGAAGCACTGCTCTCATCCTCCAGACAGCTTCTGAGTTTTAATCCACTGTAAACTCTCAGGTCATTCTCCAGTTACCTTCAGAGATCTCTTTAAAAATATTTTGAATTTCTACTTCCTAAAGATCTCATTTTTCTTCCTATCAAAATTCACAATTTTCCCCTGTGATTTCTGAAGTCTGCCCTGAATACAAGTAGCATGTTTTATTGAGTATGGATCTATATTGCTGTCATACTATCATTACCAATTGTCATGGTTTAAGCTCAGTCAGCCACACAGCTGCTTGCTCACTCCCCCTGCTCCTGGAGGGATGGGGAGGAGAATCAAAAGAATGTAACTCCCATGGGTTGAGATAAGAACAGTCCAGTAACTAAGGTATAACAGAAACCACTGCTGCTACCACCAATAATAACAATGATAAGGGAAATAACAAGGGAAGAGAATACAACTGCTCACCACCCACCGACCGATACCCAGCCCAACCTGAGCAGTGACCAAACCCTTGAGGTAACTGCCCCCAGTTTATATAGTGGGCATGACGTGCTGTGGTATGGAATACTTCTTTGGCTAGTTTGGGTCAGGTGTCCTGTCTCTGCTTCCTCCTGGCTTCCCCTTCTCCCTGGCAGAGCATGAGACTCTTGGTCCTTGGTCAGACTAAACATTACTGAGCAGCAACTGAAAACATCGGTGTTATCAGTGCTGTTCCCAGGCGGAAAGTCAAAAACACAGCACTGCACCAGCTACTACAAAGGAGAAAAAATGGCTGCTACTGCTGAACCCAGGACACCAATAAAAGTTAACTTTTCATTTTCTGTATTATCTTTTGCTGATGAAATAATAGGTTTCTCATTCTGGCAAAACAATTTCTCTTCTTTTTGTACCCCAACAGTTTTATACTCTTCAGGCACCTTGTTTGTCTTTGCTTCCTAAATCAGCCTCTGAATGTGGACATGAGTATGGGGAAACTCAACAGTTTCCATATTCTCTCTAGGGATAGCAGGATTGCAAACATGAACTGAAATGCATAACTGTGGTCTGTTTTTTTGCTGGTGCGGTTTTGTTTTATTTTTTTTTTTTCTTTTTTTCTCTCCTTGATCTTCAGCAGTCTGCAGCAATTCCATCAGAGTAAGGAGATACACAATCAGAAGAGCCTACCTTGCTAGGAATCCAAATGAGACTGCATTCTTTAACAGCCAGCATGCGATCCCTTCATTTTCATTCCTGTTCAGTAGTACTTCTTACAAGCCCCGCTAATGATCCTGGAAAAATTGTCAGATTTTGCCATTTGAGGGCATTTGAGCATGATGGAGCTTTGCTCAGCTGAAACCCCTTTATTAAATCAAGTTTTTCTTTGCTACAGAAGCTAAATCAGCCTGAATGCTGTGCTTTGTTACTGTTCTTTGTGTATACAGATTGCTCTGAAAAAGCTCAACTGACTCTTAGGGAAAATTTCTAACTTTCATGATTGCCTAATGAATATATCTAATTGATAATAATGTAAACATACATTTGAAGTGACTACAAAACCCACCATTTGACAGTGTAAATTGTGTTAGTAGTGGCATCATTGCAGAAAGGGGGTTAAAAATCTGTGCTCACTCCTTTCTTACCTGTACTTGATCTGCTGAGTGATGTCAAATTAGAGGTAGGTATATTATGTCAATTTAAGAACTGAACTGAGACAATGGATTCATTTTAGCAGGTTAAAAACTATATAGCCATTAGCAAGCACTACTGTTCTATCACACTGTGGTCAACAGGAACTACAAACAAAAAGGTCAAAAAAATTCTATCTGGAAAACTTTTTCAGCTGGGCTTGTACTATAAACTTGTATGGGGCTCTAATACAGGCTGATGTGCCTGTTACACCAATGTGTTATACCAAAATCTGAAATAAAATGAAACTACAAATTTAGTGACATTAGAAATTCGGGTATCCAGATGACACACTGCTGGGCACACAACATTGTTTTATCAAACAGGTATTTGTCTCAATTAAGCTAGATTCATGCCTGATTTTCAGTTTCCCCCTGCAAGAAAGACATCAGTATGAACAGGTACGATACTTTCCACCTGCCATCCAGAGCAGTCATGATCTACCATGTTCTCAGTTCTTAATGTAAAACCTCAAATTAAATTTGATCATTAAAAATATAATATTCTTGATCAAACTTTACTCAGACAAGCAGGAAACCTTGTCTTTCTAAATTCAGCCACACAAAAATTACACCATGTCTCCTCTTGCAGTCATCTTCTAAGTCTCATGCTGGATTCTGGTTCTTATTTTCCCTGTGGTGGACTATTTGGATTGCTAAAAAGTATTTTAGCTGGATCAGACTCTTTTTTTTAAAGCAAGTTATTTTGTCCTAAATATGTATGGCCACTGTTTTTGGCAATCTTTCAACATGCCTCCAAGTTGGTCAGAAATGTTAGGGTCCCATGGGTGTATGTATACTCACACTGTGAAATCATATCCTACACTGTGGAAAGCAAAGAGGTTACCAAGTGGTTAACTATGGAAAGTTGCAAAGATATGATTTCATACTATAAACCAAAAAGAATTAATGTTTCCACAAAAAGCTCTGGAGCTAATGTACTCTCTCTAAAGTGGTGAGTCAGACAATCAGATTCATACTATGTCTTTTTAAAAAAAAAAAACAAACAACAAAACCCAAACCCTTTTCTCCATTAGAGGTATGCTTAAAGAGCCAAAGTATGCAATTTGCTGGCTACATTTAAGCAGTGAAAACACCTACCGCCTAGCATTGGTAAAAGTTTTCTTAAAAATGCTTGTTACCTTTCTCTTTTTATCTCACTTGGATGATCACTTTATTAAACAGTGATTTCATTCTTAGTTTCAAAATCCTCACCTATGATAGGAAAAGGATGTTTTAAAACTAAATTGAATGTCTTCAGGAGCAGGAATAAAAAAGGTTGGGGGGTGAAAGGGATACACAGCTGCTGGGTAATTCTCCTTAGCTGCTATCCACAGCTGACATTTATTAGAGCCTTCAAGCCACTTGTGCAAAAAAACCTGCAGTGGTTCCTCTGTGTTTGTGGCTGACTTTCAATCAGTCCTATAGGCTTTTATTCCTGAAGTGAATCAATAGAGAGAGTTATTTTCAAAAGGCCCAAGTCATCTGCACTCTATTCGCATTTAGAACATTATTTCAGCTTCTTTCCCACAGAGCAAATATCACCAGCAACAAGACCACACCTTTTCATATCTATAAGGGAAAAGGGCAGTTTAACACTTTTGGCAAAGATATAAAGGTAACATCAGCTGTTTGAAGACACCTCTTTTTAATCTGCCTAAAAAAAAAGAAATAATACAAAAGAAAGTAAATAGGACTTGTGGTGTTTGAATTTATGTAAAGCTATACATTTCAGAACAAATTGCTTGGTAACCCTTTTGGAAGGAAAGATTCTATGAAATAGAATACTTTGGCTTTCAAGAATGAACAAAACTCCCTTGCTTTAGCCCAAATTAGTTCAATGCAGAAATGGGTAATAGAGCACACGGGCTTGCATCTAGTGTTTTTATCACTTCTAAGTATGTCTCTGTCTAGAGATTAAGGAATGGCAAAAAAACATTTTTATTGAAACATTTGTCCAAATTTCAGAGGTAATTTTAATGTGACTGTCCTTTTTAAGTGACTGCTTCTGCATGTAAGCGTTATTAGCACATATATATATCAAAAGTGATTTTGAAACTGATGTTAATCAGATTGCTTATGCACATCCTTTTCATGACATTGTTGAGAACCTGATCCCTGACACATTAAAAATCTGTAAGTAAATTTAAACGATTTTCACTGATATTATAAACTGTGTGGATTATTTATTGCTTCAGAAATAACTCATGTAGCAATGTATAACATAAATAGCTGACAAAGCATAGGCTTCATGTAAGAAAAAAATCTTTGGATCATAATTTTTTTGTTATTAAATTGAATCATTTTTCCAAGTTGTCATCACAGCATTTGCCCCAGCTACCACATTTTCAGTGGTGTAAATGAGAACTGAATAGGTACAGCATTTCCTTGTATTTTGTGAGGATAGCTCTTAATGGACTTTCTCAGTCCAAATAACATTGATTTGGATTAGTGGTGATTGCAGATAAATGATAATGAGGTAGAAGTAGGAAAAAGGATTGTAGGATTCAGCACTTTATATTAATACATAAAGTTTACTCAAAAATTCCATTACATGCAGTCTAATAATGGTTTTAAATGAACTGCTTTGAATTGACAATGGAAACTACAAAGGTTTTTCATAACCATCATCATTGTATTTTTCAGATTGCCACACATATACCCAGAATACCTTTTTTTTCAGATAAAGAAGTAAATATATCTGCAGTGTTGGAATACTAGAGCAGAGGAACAGCAGTCCTGTGCAGAAGTCACAGAAGTATTGGAATTAAGAAGTATTGGCCTGAGGGAGATCCCTCAAATCCATACAGCAGCTAACGCACACTGCAAGCGACAGTGACATTCTGGGAAGTGCTGAAATGGCACATAATAATTTTCTATTCAGCTTGAGCAACATTCATGTTTATTTTTCACAAGTCTATTAAACAAAGTGCTACAAGATCTAAGACCAAAAGAACCAAGTTTCAGACAAGACAGCATGTATTTTAAATTGCCAGTCCTGCATTTTAATCTGGTGACAGTTCACCTGATACTATGGTTTCAGTCTGTGCTAATTTTTAATGTAGAAGTAATTCTTCTAGATTTAGCTGGTGACATTACAATGTTGGAGGCCTCCTGTGTTGTGTTTAAGTTCTACAATACGTCTTAAAGACAGAATGTAAGTGAAAAGGTGGTGAAACTGTGACACTCAAGTGTGTTTAACACTTCTATTGTAGAGACAGCAATAGGAACATCTACAGAAGAGTATCCACTAACCCTTGTTTATACTTCTTACATTGCAAAGGCAAATGAGTATCTCAGTTTTCTAGTAAAAGCACTAAGAAACTAAGGGACTAAATTATCATTACTGGATTAAGAATACAGTATGCAACATTTCTGAACTCAGATCAGCTGCAAGCTAATTTTTCCAACATTTGTTTGTGTTTAATGAAAACGAAGTCTAGATACATGTCAGGAAAAATTAAGTTTCCTATTAAAGCTGTTGTGGTCTACTGGCTTTTTAGAATTTTAAGACTCACAATGGCAAATTAACCCTCTGAACTGCTTCATTCTGAGAGTATAATTAATTTTCATTTAGACATGGAATGTATGACTTTTTTGAGCTTGTAGTGACTATACATTTTTTTAATTGGTTTAGTGTTGCCAAAACCTGACTAAATATACAGCAGCCTGAAGAGTCATGCAGCAGAAATCTTCCTGCTCCATTTGCTTGATCAGACATATATCAATTATTTACCACACAGAAGGTGCAGTATCCTTTAGGGTCATTGAATCTATGGAAAATTGCAGCTGACATTTCTGGCACAGAATTGAATTGCAAGAGCTTCCTGGTATTCATTTATCAAAGGTGAGATGGAGAGTAACCCCCGAGTTAGCTCAAAGAAAGCCACTTTGGGCAAATGA